AATGCTTCTACTGCCTTTCTCTTTATCCCACTCATCTATTTTTTTCTCCCCCTCCTCTTTGGCCTCTGTAGGAATGCCACAGGAAGTGCACCACCCCAGTCTGTTGTCCACATAATAAAAATGATGCCAGAGTCGCCTACTGCAAAAAAGTCAGACTTTTTTTTATTTTAAATACTGTGGAGGATGAGGTCAGGGTAAAGAACAAGTACTACAATCCGGCTGCAGAAGTAACAGATCACGGCTGTCAAATGAAAACGTCAACAGTTGTGGTAATTTTTACTACAGTGGATTGATTACGCAGATTGAGAAATGATTTGTCTTCATTACACATCGTTGGGATTATGATGCCATTTCCAGATCGACTGTGGTTGTTTTCATAGCTTAGAGTATTTGGATTAACTGTAAATCCTTAAAGTACAACTAATATCATCCTCACTCATCCTTTTCACCAAAGTGCATTACAAAGCCGCACAGTGCAAGTTCACAAATTACAGGAGGTAAGGTTAAAATCCTTACAGGAATCATGTTGGGCTCATGCCCTCAGGCTCTTGCCCTTCGCAAGGGATTTCATTTATTTCCCCTCATCAGACCTCTTCTGAGGACTGTACACACTGGGCTGGGTTGACAGGCCTGTTGCTACCCCTGTGAGCTAGGGCAGAGCAATTCCCAACTTGTGTGACCTCACATTATTTCTGACACAGCTCTGCCCATTTTCAGCCTGAGCAACTCTAATCGTCCAGAACTGAAAAAAACCCTGCAGGTGGGCAGCTGTGCAGGGTGTCCAGGGTTCACTGGCAAGCTGCACTCAAGTCTAAACATTAAATGTTACTGCCTGTTAAGCATTTTTCATCAAATAATTTTATTATGAAGTTTTTTTCAATGCAAAGGCCTAATAGTTAAATATTCAAGTTGTGCAGCTTTGGAAGACCTGCCTGTTACAATCACATATCTTTTTTAGGTAATGTTTGTTTCTCAAATGTCAAGACATATATTTTGAGAGCAACAGAAACAACATTTGCACACATTTAAACTGTTACAGTGAGCTCATCAGCAAACAGTCACAGATATGGAGCAGCATCATCCATCATCTGTGTTGACATGATGATGTAAGTCCAATATTGACTCTTTTTTTTTAGCTTATAGCTCCGGGTCTCCATCAACTCCTGAGGGAAATATCTGACCTCTTATTCGCTAAATGCTCCACTGTGCTCATCAGTTAGCCACTGATTTTGTGTGTCTGCTATCTGCTGTTGAGTAGGTAGTGTTTTGTAGCTTTTTAGTGCCTTATCACTGAAAACAGCTATGAAAGAAATGAGAGTAAACAAACAACTACAAAGATGCTACAAAGCTCTCCAGAGTTGATTCAAACTCAAGAGCTGTGTGATCGTTCTCTCCCACTTCACATTCCACCTAGTCATTTGATCCATTTCTATTCCAGAAACATTGCTTAGAATTAGCCTGGCCCCGATCACACTATTTTTTTTTTTATTAGTCTGAGATTATTCCTTTTTCTGATCCTTTTTGTGGTTATTTTCAATAACATAGTTTGATCTGGAGCACAGCTGGATGAATGATGCTCTCTTACAGGCCCTCCTTTACGCTGACAAAACTCTCAAACATACCAGTCAACAGTTACCTTCAAAGCGTGGCACTGAGGGTCAGTTGAATGGATTAGCCCTTTTAATTGAGTTCTTGTTTTTTGCTTTGTTTTTTTTGGAGCTGAATGGAACTTGTAGTGTTTGTAGTGGGATGAGCTGTGAGTCAGACAGTGTGTGTGTGTGAGTGAGTGTGGTGCAGACATTCCTCTCTAAACCAGACTTGGTACAAGAGAAATGTAATGACAGGCCTGCCGGGCCTATGAACCAGGGACCAGAAGGCACCACATCACATGTGCTCACACACATACACACAGTTGTGTTGCCATCACTTCAATGGACATTTCATTGAGCTACATTTATTTTCCCCCTAACCCTAACCCTATTTCCTCTAAAACAAACCTGACCAAAGCCTAACTTTAGAACTTGTGCTAAAACTGAATTATTTTTGTTATGGGGACTTTCTATTTGCCCTCAGAAAGAAGGCAGGTCCCCACAATATCACTGTATAAATAGGTTTATGTCCCCACAATGTAAGTAACACAAGTACCTACACACATACAGTTTGCCAACATTTGGGCACCTCTGGGCAAATGACATTCTTGTAGACTTTGAGGCAAAACAAGTAAATACAACCCCTGCAGCAAGCAGACAGTAGAAAACTTGGGCTGTCCTGTGGGTAGCAGCATCTTTAAGATCTGACCAGAGATTTTCACTGATGTTCTTGTCAGGGGCCTGCAAGGGCTGCTGCAAAAGCTTCAGCTTGAGTTTCTTGATCTGTTTTGGATCACTGTCCTTGTTTCACTCTCTTGGCTGACTGCAGGACATGTGTATCCAGAATCTGCCGTGCAGTCTGCGCTATCCGTGCAGTTATTCCTTTGCCACTGGCGGCCACACAAAGTCAAACCAGAACATGTCCCCTTCCATGCTTAACAGTTGGCAAATAGTTCTGCTTTTTTCTCCAAATTTGCCACCAGTATCTGTGGCCAAAGAGCTCCGTTTGAACTTCACATGTCCACGGCACTTGCTTCCTGACTTATTCACATGTTGCTTTGCAGACTTTGGCTTCTGTCATTAGACGGCTGATAAGCTTTCTTTCTCATCTTAAACATAGAGCCTGTTTGAGCATCATAAATGAACTCCACTCCTGTGTTAATAAATTCATCCTGCAGCTCACCATGTTGCTTTGCTTTTCTGCTCAACAGACGCACAGTTTGATATAAAGGTTTTCTTTGTCTTCCAGGTCTTCCACTGTTCTACTAAACTGTTTCTTATGGCATTTTGGACAGTGGAAACTACAAGCTGGAAGCACTTTATTATCGTTTTATAGCCATTGCCTGCTTTTTAAGCATCGGTTAGCTTTTCTTGGATCCTCAGTCCGTTGCTTCGAGAATAGTTGTGACGTTTTTCCACAAGGTTGGATGAGACTGAGAATTTAGCAGCTCTGGACCGTGGTCAGTTGACAATTAGAAGCCCTAACCAGTCAGCTCAGGTCTAAAAAGATAAATGACACTTTAAGTTTCTGATCTAAAAGGCAAAATGCAGTAACATTTTTTAAATGTTTGCTGCAGAGGCTGCATTCACCTTTTTCACCTCAAAAATCAGAAAAATATGTAATTTGCCACTGGATGCCTGTCCTTCCTTTCTCGTTCCCCTCCTTCACTTTAGCTCTCTCCTGTTCTTTCCATGCTAAAGCTCATAGTAGTCTTTGTTGGTATATTCCTGGCATCACTGATTACTCATCAGAGGCAAACATCCTGTGTCTAGAATTAACTCCTGGCCTCTTTTCCATTTTTTTTTATAGGCCTCAGTAGCAGTGCAGTGTTTTGTGTCTGTTCCAGAGGCCTCACTCTGCCTGCTCGCTGTGCTGGAATCACCAGACCGGATCAGTCAGCTTCCCACAATCAGTGCTTTTGCAGATCATTTCCAGGTGTGATGCACCTGCCTGGAACAAACGGTGGATATAGGATTACATCTTCATTTTTCCACCCAGTGTTAACATCATAAACTAATGCGGGCACATCTAAATTAGAGTCTCCCTTCAGGGTGTAATCACTGAAATAATTACACACAGTATTACTTTACTGCAGTCTGTGGTGGAACAAATGCTCTGTTTTCTTCTTTCTTTTTGACCAGCATGGTGAGAGAAAGAACATATCTGCCCTCTGGTGGAGAAACCATAGCCAAGAGCCAGAATGTGACTAATGTCCTTATTCATGACACACATTGATTTTCAATGATAAAAGCTGCCTCCGTGTTTAGTCGCTAAATACTATTAAAGAAGCCCATTGCCAGTATTTTCACATAATACATTTATTACTGCTGCTTTTTCCCCAAAAGCTTTGAACTCAGTACTCCTTTGTTTAAAGATTTTCTACAGCAAATATCCAGTATCAGTATTCAGTCCACAGCAGTTTGACACAGAGTTCGTGATATTGTCTGTATAGGGATTATAATCTAATGGTCTTGCAGTGTTGTCAGTTCTGGATACTACCTGAACACAGATTGATTAGCCATAAAAATGTAAACATATCACTGTACACATTGGAGGTTCACATATATATACAATTCAGTTGCTGCTAATGCTACATGACATAAATGCTACATGACATAAATGCTACATTGTCAAAAGTATGTGGACATGGACTCAGTGCAGTCATGTGTGACTGTTTAACGTCTCAACAATCACTTAAACCACAATGCCTTTGCAGCATGGCACCCAGAAGAATTAGTCACTTTTGCAATTTCTGCAATTCATTTCTTACTAAAATCGCTGTACTTATTACTGTCTAAACCAAATCGGGGGTTGGGACTCCCACATTCCAGGTATTACTTCTGGGCTTCACAACTGAGACTCGTGGTGTCATGGATGAAAAAATCATACATTTATTTGATGGATTGACAACTTTCTCTGTTTTGTGCTTCTCAATTTGTAGTAATGTATGCATGCATTTATATATTTTCATATATCTTTGATGATCTGTCGTGATGGAAGCATAAAAAAGTGTCTTGAATATAGCTGTGGCGAATTTGATCAAATATTGCACAACAACAAACTCAAATTATTTGAACTAATAAGAGTATGCACTTCCAAGAACTGATTTTTTCAAATACTGACACTTTTTTTTCACCACAGTCATGTGTTCTGCAGATCTTTTTTCAGTCTGTGTCACTATGGCTACACCTGCACAAAGTAGAATGCAGTCAATCAGGTCATCTACTTAAACACTCAAATTGCAAAATTAAATATGAAGAGCTTGTTTGTATCCACAACCTCCAGTGCCCACTCTTTTCATCAGACGTAGGAATCTAGTGAATTTGCTTCCATTCAGAATCAGATTCAAAGTGAGACTTTGGAAGTGTCCACATACTTTTGGCTATATAGAGCATAGTATTTCCATATTCTCAACAAGTTACAGGAGAAATAAGAGGTTGATGAATTGTGCTCTTAGCCAGCACTTTAATGTCTTTCATGAAGAGATAGTAAGGATCCTCTAGACCAGGTAAAAAGTCAGTCTCTGAATAGTTATCGGGCCATGTGTCTCTTTCTTTCAGGCTTTCTTCACCCTCAGTGACGAGCTCGGCCCCCATCTCCTCCTTATGCAGCCTCTTGCGCTCCTCCCTGAGCTCAGTGTAGGTACGGTTAAAGGTGTGGAAGATAGATGTGGAAGGAAAAGACAGGATGAGGATCCCTGACAAGATGATGATTAACGCCATCAGTTGGCCGGGGATGCTGCGCGGCACCATGTCGCCATACCCCACAGTGGTCACCGATATGATGGACCACCAGTACGACGCTGGGATGCTGCTGAAGCAGAGGTGGGGTAACTTGGCAGCATTCGGTGCCAGCTCACTCTCGGCAAGGTGGATGAGGGGAGAGAAGAGAGCCACGGCGACGCACACAAAGAGCAGCAGCAGGCCAAAGTCCGTGAAGCTCCGCTGGATGGTCAGTCCCAAAGTCTGCAGACCCATAGAGTGACGGGCCAGCCTCATCACATACAGGACACGCAGGGCCCTCAGCACACGTAGGATTAGACCCAGTTTATCCAAGGTGCTCTTCCCTGCACCAGCAACAATATCATGCACTGACTCATCCCTGAGCTCCAGGAACAGTGAGACATAGTACGGCAAGATGGCAGCCACATCAATGATGTTGAGAGGGCCACGGGCAAACTCCAGCTTGCTGTGTGCATGGAAAAATCGCACTAAAAACTCTAAGGTGAACCAAATCACACAAACAGATTCCACCACAAACATGGTGCGGCATGTTTGCAAGCATTCACCCTGTGAAGACAAAAAAAAAAAGGACACAAAATAAGTTTAACAGAGCTGAGGTTTGCTTATATAGCTAGATTACTATATTATTAACAGTCAGTCCCTCTGACTGCACGTAAAACTACCTCAACTCAAACATCACAAGAAGTTTGCCTTTATTTTAAGCTGATTCAATTATGACAATAAATCTTCCATTTGCCTTCTCAGCTCATCCAAAACTCTGCAGACAGACAGAGAAGAGAGCAGTTCACCAGAACTGTGTCTTGCTATGCTTAAACTATACATAAAAAGTGTTTAGTAATTAAAAAAATTTAAAAAGAGAAGAGGCAAGTTGTGTCAATGCATTTTGCTCTCAGTAATTACTGACCTCAGGAGAAAACTGTCTCTCTGCCTTCCAAACATAAGAGTGTCCTGTGATGCTTTT